AAAATCTTGCAGAGAGGAATCTTGCAGACCCTCTTGAATATTTGTCAAGCTTAATCTCCTAAAACATCAGATAATTTGACCTTTTTAATAACAGGACAAGGTTAGTTCAGATCGAAAAATGCAGTGCGACTCAAACTTAAATGGTATTTAGGAATAATATAATGATAAAAAAAGGAACTGAGATATGTATTCTACATTTATATTCAACTTGTATTCAAAGAGATAATGTTACTTTTTACTTGAATGTTGTGCAAAACCATATGGAGCCAATGTTACTACAAAAATGAACTTTTAAAAACATGACGCGTACATCTTAAATAGGTTGACCTTTTTTTTCCCCAATCACTTTGTCCCTTTCAGGTATCCCAGCACCCTCAGGCAACAGTCTGGACTCTCTGCAGGATGACAATCCCCCCCACTGGCTCAAATCCTTGCAGGCGCTCACAGAGATGGATGTCCCTTCCGGCTCCACAGTGCCCCCTCAGCCCCCACACAGCGGCCCCTTCGGAGTCCAGTTCCCCCACAGAGCCGGCTGGACCCCTTATCCAGCCACGGCCAACCCCGCCACCCAGTTCCACTCTCCTCCCCCGGGATTCCAGAACGCCTTCAGAGCCTCAGCTCAGGCCTCCACAGATCTGCTACAGAGTGCCGGCATGGACCGCCATTAGGAACTGTGAAATCCTATTCCCCTTATCCGAAGAAACGCCGACAAACACGGCAGATGAATCCGTACAAAGCTATTAACAAATTAACAAGATTATGTATTGTTTCCCTCTTCACCTTTTGCTCCTTTTTGTCCCTTTTCCTTGATTTGGTTCAGTTTTTCGTTTTCCTTGTTGCCCTAGTGCTCTGTTCCAGCTTTCCCAATTCAAATGGTCGCATCAAAGCATAACAAACAATAGGTTTTCAACAGGTAAACAAACTCCTCACTAGTACGTAACATTAACGTCGTCGGCACATCATTTTTGGAACACTACACTCTATAAATAAAAAAAGGCATCATCAATGATGTGTTTTCTAGAAACTCCATTTGATCCAAATGGAAAGAATCAAAGGAAAAGTGTCTTGATTTCGAAATAAGAGTCTGCCTTCGAAGCTAAACCAAAAAGAACAGCACCTGTTCGTCCATCTGCACAACAGAGATACTGTACTTCCTGTGAGAGTCCTTAAAGCCATGCCGCTAAGCAATCAAGTAGATATCCAAAATCAAAACAGGGCTTCAATTTATGTTTGATCAAAAGGGTACTTGACTTCCATTATTCTGACGGATCAAAGGCATAATGAAGGCCAAGCAAAAAGCACTTTCCCCAAGGATCTTTGGCCTTTAACTTTGTTCTACCTTGTTAAAAGGGAGATGCATTTTAGGGGTCATAAACGTGGTGCCCGCTCTCAACGCGGCATTTAGCTGTAGATGGATGCAGGCCTTTGCCTTTGACCCACCCGCCAGATTGCCTGGTTGGTCAGGGGGTCTTCCGCTTTAGATCGCAACAGATCGTTAACCTCTGTATCAGAGGGCGGCACGTTGCGAGATTAAGAGGAATGGAGAGCTGGGTAACACCGACCCCTTTCAAGCGCAGGGGTCGTGTAGCACACGGGACGCCACCATGTGGCGTTTCTCATAGCTGCCTCGATGTACGTGGCCTAATCAGTGTTTACGCTCCAACTATGCTCCCTGAAGAAACTTGAAGGTGTGCGAGGTGTACAGAGGTTTAGGAAATAGATCTAGAGTCCGAGTGAAACGACGTTTTTAAGTGTGAATGCGTGACGTGAAACGACAGAGTAGAAAACTTTCCATTGGTGGGTGTTTGGAGAAAATAATCAGGGTTAAAGGGCTTTCCGGTGGAGAGAAATTAATGAGGTTGATAATGTTCTTATGCCGATTGTGACTGTAGCAGTTACTTTGCACGTTTTTTTTTTTTTTTCACACAAAAAGCGATAAAAGGGAAAGCTGGTATAGTGGCTCTATTGGGCATCTGAGGTTCTGGCAATACACAGGGGTCTCGTCCGGGACCGTTAACTCTGTTTGTCTCTTCTGCTCACCTCCTTCCCATTACCTTCTCAGTTTTCTTTTGATGGTCTTAATCCTGTGTCAGCTGTGTAGGTTCTTGCCGATTGTTTGGTATTCAACAGTATTCAAGAGGAATGGATAAATTAAATCTCGACGACAATGACGAAACCAGTTTAACTTTGGGTTTTACACAGTGCTAAAATGTAAGAAAAATTAAAAGCTGGAGAAATTGTACCTCTCTACAGGTCTGGAGGAAAATAAAAACTAAATCTTAAATAAAAGAGTCAGTGATCTTTTTGGACAACCTTTAGCTTTCTTTTCACCCTTTTCAGCTCTCTGAGACGTGATGAAAGGCGGCGATGGGCTCTGTCGCACCTCCTCGCTCTGCCCCGCAAGTGCTCGGACACATCCTCCTCATTTGAGTCAGCGCTTGTCTGCGATTGCTCCTTTGAGGGATCAGGCTCGGAAGAGGGTTTGTGGCACTTCGCTTCATTTTAATTTATTTTTTGTTCCCTTTAGTGGGGTGTCAATACCAACTTCCAGAGCGCAAGCCTTCAAACAGGTTCGGAGCGGCCCAATTAGCTTTATCTCAGTAAAGAGGCAGCAGCTCCTAGATAATGTCAAGAGTGCATTAGGCATTTGAAGCGAGCTTACCGAGTGCTCTGCTTTCAAACGCTCAGCAGAGCCACTCTGTCATATTCTCGTGCCTAAATTACTGCAGTGCTGATCTAATTGGCAGTGGAAGTTGCCAACAAATATGCAATACTGAAACTGCAGCGACTCAGCATGTGTTTTCTCCGGGGCCTCAGTTATAATGGCTCAAATACGTAATGTAGGATTGAGTCAATATATACATGTATAATAGACTCTATGATTGAGTGGCTCATTTCTGTTCTATCACCTTAAGATGATTTGTATATGTATAACAGCGTTATTTAATGGTGTAATTAGTTCAATGAGGCAGGACCTGAGAGTGCTCTAGTCTAGGCCAGTGGTTCTCTAATCATTTTAGTTTAAATAAAGCATGCATATATAGAATATATATATATATATATATAGAGCGCGAGAGAGAGAGAGAGACAGTTCCGTAACAATGTGCCAATTTGTTTGTTGAACAAAATTCAAAATGGCTGATATGTGAAATTTGGGTATCATTTGACTGCATGCTGCACTGAATCTAAAGAGACCTGTTTTGTCATTATTTTTTTTTTTTTTTTTTGTCCAAACCATTCAGAAGTTATAAGCCAGGCTGTTGTAGAAAATCAGAACTTGTTCTTAAGTGACTAACCTTGTTAAAGGATAATAATAAATATCAATTTTTCACATCTCCTAACCACTTGGTGGCACTGTGCCAAAACTGCAAAACTGTTCCCTCAGGTCTAGGTTGTCATAACGCACACCAAGTTTAGAGTGGCAAAGTTATGACGTCAATTTGTAGGCCAAAACACGGAAGTGAGTTAACATTTTAGCACTTCCGGTTCCCTTCGAGTCTATGGGTTTTTTTAATGGGTTTTTGCTAAATCACCTGAAAAGGTCTGTGTTGAACAAAGCCGCTAAATATTTTCACGTTTTGATCTATGACATTAAACACAGATCTTATTTATTGTGATTTTCCGAAAGTCTGTGGGGAAAATGCATAGTTTTTCGATCAAGGGAACCCATGCGCCGCTAGCTTCCGAGTTGTCCTATAAAGTGACGTCAGCTAAGGTATTGTGGAGAAGATATACCCATACGTCTATTTTGGAGAGCTCCTTATTCACGCATTAGTAGAGTTATTAGATTATTTGACGAATCAGAGCTAGTCTAGGAGTTTGATAAAGCATTTTTTTTGGGGGGGGGGGTCTAAATGGCTGGATAGTTTTTAAGATGGAAAATGACGTCATGGGTAGTAATCGAATCGGCTTGAGCCAGGGATCAGGAAAAAAATATTTAGTTTCCTAGGTTATTAGCTTAAAATGTGAAAGTCTGAAAGTCAGTGTTTGGGTTCTAAATGTCTTTTTAAACGTTGATGGTTTCAATCTTCTGGCATCCAATAATTCCCGTCATCTTTGTTGCAGTAATGTAATTCTGATCGTGTGAATTGTTCACAACCTGTCCATGATTAGGCCTGTGACCCATGTTGAGAAGCATTGTTCTGCGCAGTGATCTAAATGCTCTCGAGTTCAAATGCTTGTGTTTCTGTCGCGCCGCGTCGATACTCATTGTCTCAAGAGGCCTGATGGAGAACACACGGGCCCGTCCTAATCAGAGGTGCTTATTCATAGCAGTGCTCTCGCTCTAAATGCATTCATGAAGTATTCATCAATCCTCAAACACAGGCTTTTCATCTCTTTAAATGAGTTGTTTTTGTTTTGTACGTTCTTGGCCAACAATCCTAGTATGAAGGCTAGTTAGTTTCTTTCTGCCTCCTCCTCGCTCTCTGTTATCACATTTGATGAGTTTGCCCTTCTATTGTAGTTTTCTCTCTCGACTTCTCTGGATCCATTTCAATGGTTTGCCCAGTTGATCAGATAATAACCTCATCATATTTGTTGCCTAGGTGGTTTTACTTGCCTTAAATGTCAGCAAGTGAACTTTGATCTTTGTCTCACCAGCCTTCCGTTTTTCTCTCTCTCTCTCTCTTTACAAAATTTGTTAACATTAGTGTTAATGGTTTAACCTCAACGTTAATGTTCATACATGTTTGGCATTTCAAATTGTAGAAATTAATGTAATATATTATGAACAAAAACAAATTAAATGTGAAAAATTGTGTATTTATTTACCAGTAACCATTTTTAAGTGTTGGTTCATTACTACTGTTAACTGATTGAACATTATTGTGAAGTGTTAGTCTTTTTAAATTAGATTTATATTTGCAATTGCCTGTAAATATAAAGGTCAGTACAACACAAGGGTAAATATACAATACAGATGAACACAACAATGAGATTTTATTTTGTAATGATATTACATTCCACATTTTAACATTTTCCAGGATTTATTTTTTCTCTTTTTTTTTTCTTAAACATTTTTTACAGTTGTATTTTTTTTTTCAGGTACTCAACAGACACATTACTGATGAAAAAGAACCATTAGTCTTCAGTGTCCCATTAAAAAAGTTGCAGTTTCACTGATTCTGCTACTTTTTTCATTTATATTTTTACATTTTGAAGACAAAAATATTCCCACTCCTATTTCCCATCCCACCCACTCAAAAAAAAAAAAAAAAAAAAGGCTGACAACTGTTGGCTGTGATGTAAACACATTTGTGTGAATATAATGTGTGGAGTGTGTTCATGAATACAGGAATCTGTGATCCTGAGCCCATTCATCACCTACATACCCAACACTTTATGATCTTTCATTGGGGAGAGTCCTTACAATGCCCACGAAGCGACCAGTTTTTATTAATTGCCCAAGTTTTTATAAGACTGACTGAAATATTTCACTATAAGCATCACAATGATCCATACGAAGCTTATGCAATGCTGGTCCCAACCAAGCAGTCATTGAATGTATTTATTCTTGACATCTGATGCAAGCATCTGCTTCTGACTCTTTGGTGTCTTTACCCCGCGATTAAACACCCCTCTCTGCTTTGTTGAAGGAGGAAAAATGTTTTTTTAATATTATTTCTCAAGCAGGACCGTGTGCAAGGATGGCGTTTTGGTTTATTTGAGGGAAATGTTGCGTACAACCAGCTGACCCCATTTATGTCTTCGCCTAGGAGCGTAATCCGTGGACTGAAATAAATATTTTCCTCCTAAGTGTGTCAAGGAACACTATCTTATATAAGGCCAGATGGGCTTATTGCGAGATGCCTCTGAAAACAGATTGTTATTGTGTATTTATGCATGTTTTCTTTTGCATGCATATTGTAATCAAGCACTGTGGAGTTTGTTTCGCCGATTTGTCTTTGGGCTTGTGTGGAGAAGTCTTCTGGAGTTATGTAATTTCATGGCCAATTGCATTGTCAGCATGCAAGCATGTCTTTTTACTTGAATACTGCCACACAAATCACCAAGAGCGCCCATTCATATGTCAGAAGCCTGTGAACGCTCTCAATGAAGACTGCTGAACTCATATTTCGTGTTCGTGTTGAAAGACCCCATGAAATGGCTTGCAGCCTTTCGTTTTCCACAGCTCTCTGGGCAACCTGTATCACGAATGATGTAATGAAAACACTTTCAAAATGGCTGACGACTTGCCGTTTTCTTTTGCAACCAATTGATGGTTGTTAAAGGAACTGAAGTATGACGATCAATGCGAACCATGATGCTGCTGTGTCTCTTGCTATTGCTATTTAGGAGTAGGTGATATATGATTTAGGGGGTGTTTACACGACACCATTTATCTAAAAATGTTTTGGCCATTCGTTTGCGTTTCGGGTGCCCGAAAACGCAAAATTTTGATAAAGGGATTCAAAGTGCACTTTTTTTGAAAACGGTCTCCGTGTAAACAACAAAAACGCAGATCTCTGAAGACGATGACGTCATGCACATGCGTATTACGTCTTCAGTCTGCAGTGTTGCATCGCCATCTAATGGCCTGGCAGCAGAATACAGGTGTTTTTAGTCGTTTTCGAGGATTCAAGATCATCTTAACAATGGTGTCGTCAAATGCGGAAAAACTTCTCCGTTTTAAGCATATCACTGTCGTGTAAACGTACCCTTAGAGGGAAGCAACATTCTTGTTTAGCTCCAATCCTACTTAAACACACCTGAGCTAATCCAGGTGTTCAGGATTACTAGCAACTTGGCAGGTTTTGGGAGCAGTTTAGAGCTAAACTCTGCAGGATTGGACACACCAGCTTTAGAACCATGAATACACATGTGAGTGAAATGAAAGTCATCAATTTACATTGGTCTGTTATGCCTGAATGGAAAAATGATACACAAGATTATATCTCACAATTTATCTCACAATTTGCAATTCTGGGAGTCAAAAAAAGTAACAATTATCTCTTTTTTTTTTGAGTCCATGGTTGAAACAGGCTTTCTGAATATGATGGTGAACTCCGAAACATTGACAAAACCAACATTTAAAGGGACACCAGGTTAAGAAAGTCTGACCTGGCAGATGGTTTTGGCAAATCTCCCTTGTAGTAATCTGTAAACATGGTCTTTAATGTCCTAGCGTAGGTATTTGGCATGTTTGAATGAGTGTGCCGATTCGCCAATGACCCTCGGCGCGTATGTCCCATAATAACACCCTGCTCAAGTGGTCGTTGCATATGATATGGATATCAAAATGTTTCTGATGGCAAGAATGCATGCACAATAACGCAAAAAAACTGTAGGGAACCAATCGCATATTGGCTTAGAGATTGTATTAAGCTTGTGCTTACCGCTCATCCTCCATTTGGAGGTCCCGATTCTTCAGATGTACCTCTTTTGTGCACCGCTGTATCTCTATCTCATGTAATCAGGCAGCCCTTACATACCCCATCCTGTTTTGGGAGTCCCCTTCGAGTAAAGAGACGCAGGGTGAAACAGAGCAGGAAGCTGGATTTCTTTTGTCAGTGCGTAGATGCTTTCAGAAGAGAAGTCAGCATGCGTTCTCATCAAATGGCATAAATTCCTCCTTGCAGACAAGCTTAAGGCAGTAACAGTGTGATGTTGAGTTGTGTTTCTGTCTGTGAATACTACGTCAGTCGTGTCTACAGGGACTAAGTGTATCTTTCCTTTCCAGTAATTCTTGATTCAACAAAAGAGCCTACCTGATTTCCCCCAAGGCAGGTTTTTTTTTTTGTTGATTTTATGCGTTATTATTAATAATTTTTTGTTTGTGGGTTGGGTTGGGCTGGGATTGGGATTGGGAGGTTGTATGGAGACTAAAAAACACTCACCCACGCATATCAATAATACATCATTTGCCCACGCTTCCTACATACTCATTCACACTGATGATGACTGTAATTACTACAAAAAAAAAAAAAAACTGAGAAAGAAGCACATAATAAAATTGAAAGCATGTTAGAAATGTCCGCTGATACCATTTGGATATGAATAAGAAATGAAACATGGAAAATCCTCCAATGTCCCTCCCATTCAGATTTTTTTTGTTTTGTTTTCTGGAGTATTATAAGTATTATTTTTCTCTTTACAATTTGCTGTACAGCGGGAGCAATATAACGTCACGAGCAGGCATCTCCAATTCCTGAAAACGTCCAAAGATCCTTCAACCACATCCCGAGAGGCACTGCGATAGTCTCCAGGGCCCGAAACAAATCAGCCGATTAACCACAACAGATCCAAATCGCATCAAATTCAATGTCCTCTCATGTGAAAGAGCCTGACGGTTCTGTTTTGTCTGAGTTCCTGGGCTTGAAACATTGGCACTGGACCTCCTTGCTCATGTGCCGTCCAGATACAAATACCATAGTCTCCAGGTTTGGCAGTTTTTAGGCATCAGTCTACATGTCAATATCCATCCGTCAAGCAATATTGTCTTTTTTTTTTTTTTTTCAACTTCACTTCATTCGTCACCGTGTTCTTGTGCTCACTTAGTCACAATATTGACAGAACAAACTTGTTTTTCTGTGCAGGATCTTGATGACGGAAAGGCCCACCGATATATTATCTTTACAATTATTCATGGTATTTTTAATTTCTTTTAAACGATCAGGACACTCACACACATGGTTAAAAAATGGCATTTGTGGCCTGTTTGGTGAGATTAGAAATGATTCTAAATGAAGTTATGGTCTTTTTGATGTGTTTTTTGTCCCCCAATTGTCCATCTGCACACCAGGGGATTTTTCAGAGGCTGTCTCTTAACACACGGTGCCGTTTTCTTGGCGAGATTTGGGGCACGTGGAGCGAGGGATCGGCTGTATGGAGGGCGCCAGTGTGCAGAAGAAGCCAGCGATGAGAGACAGGCCCAAACCACCCCAGGCGCAGAACATTGACCAACCGTAACCGTGACTGATGTCGTCTGGCAGGCCGTATATGTAACGAGGGTAACGGGACAGCTCGAAGTTGATGCCTGCTACACAGGTACACAAGGAAATGATGCAAAATGTGCCTGTAAAAAAACAAAGACAATCATCAGATTATTATGATTATGATTGTATCATAAACCTAATGAGTGTATTCCCTTGGCAACATCCCAGCTTGAGTTTAATATATTTCCTGGGTTGATTTAGAGAGAATTTTGAATTCCAGCTGTGTTGACATCTGCAAATCTTTCTGTAGAGGTTTACGTAAAATAAAATGCACAGATGTCGGTCAATTTTCATGGAACTTCATGAATGCGTTTTAGTTGACTCGCTTGTAGGAACTGCGAGCTAATCTGAGCGTTATTACTGACCAAGAAGCAGAGTCTGGGTCAAAACACTCAGGTGTTTTGCACGCAAGTACAAGCATACACAAGTGTAACGATGTCTTAAAAAGCCTGTCCTAACAAACTCATTTTCCTGCACCATGTGACTGAGCAAACATTCATCCTGCATAATCTGACCCTCAGTGCTCCTTCTGCCTTTATAATTTAGCATCTTAATTGGGTTTTTAATTGCCATCTCATTATTCAGACACAGGGCATCACATTAATCCAGCGCACATCGTAATTGCGTCTCCGCTTTGCTCTCTATGGTGCTCCGCCACTCTTATGGGAGCGGAGAGAGTGACGCAAAACAAGTCAGACGCTTCCTGTGAATAACAGGAGAACGCACAGTAACCAGGCCACAGGCTTTGAGTTGGTGTGAGCATCTGTGTAGTGAGGTGATGTGTTCAAAAGACCCGACACTCAATATTGCTTGCCGTAATGTGAGATAAAGAGATCAGGAGATAACTGATATTATATAATCACTTTAATGCTGCTTCCTGGCTGTCAGTCATTAATTAATGCAGTCTCGGGGTGACTTGCGTAGGAATTATTGACTAATGCACTATGCATGTTACATCACCTTTATTTAGGCTATATAGTGCTTTACTCTGCACGTTAGAGATTGTTTCAAAGCAGTTGCACGGATTTAAACAGGAAAACAAGTCAGTGATGTGAACTTCATCAAACAAGATAATTTAAATTTAGCTGTAAAGCAGCTCTAAATAGAAAAAATGCCATTATTAAACTTATTAGTGTCTTGTGCTATCTGGCACCACATTTGCAGCAGGTCCTTCAGGTCCTGAGGTAGATCGAGGATCAAACTTGTTTGTCCAGCACATCCCACAAATGCTCAATTGGATTGTGATCTGTGGAATTTGGAGGCAGGGGCAACACATTGAACTCTTTATAATGTTTCTCAAGCCATTCCTGAACAATATGTGGCAGAGTGCATTATTGTGCTGGAAGAGGCCACATTCACCAGGGAAAACTGTTGTCATGAAGGGGTGTACCAAACACACCTGATTCAACTCATCTCATTAGTAGAGACTCCGGGCCCTGTTTACACGAGAACGCTCGCGGGTGAAAACGCAATATTTTATCGGATGTGCCTTTCGTTTACACAGGCGACGGCGTTTTGGGGGCTTAAAAACGCTCCACCGTCGCGTTCCCGTAAAGGGTGAAAACCACGCAAAAGTCTGCTTGACAGTGAAGGTTACGCAGGCGCGCGGACTTGGTGTTGTTATGCACTCCTAGCCACCTGAAGTGCATAGCTAATTCCACACACTTTTGCGTCATCATATGCACGCGGATTTCCTACCCAAAACGCTCGTCTAAACGCAGAATAAAAAGTGACTACGCCACTTTTGCGTTTTATCTTCAGAATCGTTTCCGTGTAAACATAGCCCAAGACCTAAACGGGTCAGATTAGTGACACATCCAAAATGTGTGTCTGCAGGAACAGGGTTGGGAAACTACCTTAGTAGTGTGAAAATGCATTGCATACATTTTGAATCGAAATTCAAGGCAAGTCAATTAGCACGTTATTTTTAATAATCATAATATTGATAATAATACCAAATGTATCACATTAATTTCTTATTCATTTTTGCAGTAAAAATTCACTTATCCAAGAAGCAGGAGATACAAAGAGTGTATTCAAGGTAAAAAGCATTTTATTCACATTTGATTATAAATTAATTATATTAATCAGAGTAAATTATATTATATTTAGGGCGGTCAAACGATTAATCGCATCCAAAATAAAAGTTTGTGTTTACATAATAGATGTGGGTGCACTGTGTATAATTATGTTGTATATAAATACACACACATGCTTGTATATATTAAAGAAATATTTTAATGTATATATTGTGTATAGATTTATATATAATGTATATTATACATAAATATAATATATTTTATATATAAATAATATATTTTTATTAAATATACGTGTGTGTGTGTATACATATATATTTATACACAAAATAATTATACACAGTGCACCCACATATATTATGTAAACACAAACTTTTATTTTGGATGCGATTAATCGTTTGACAGCCCTAATTATATTATATTATTTAATTTGATTTCATATTATATTACTTATTTATTATACATTTAGCTGTTATAAATGTACTAAAATAATCTGAGAGATTACGTTGAATTACATTGACCAAATTTAGAATTTCTTGATGCATTGCATCATTTAATAATTCATACATTTCTTGTCAGAGATCCCAACATTAGAAATATAATCATACAGACTATGCTATATAACTTAAAATGTCTGCAATTTCTCAATACATTTTAAAAATATTTTACATTGTCTCAACATTGTACTCTGACTCAGCCGTGAACATACTTTTAACAACCTACATTTTCTGTTTGTTTCTGAAGTTGACTTACCGCCCATGAGGAAGAGCAGGCCTGCCACATACTGCATGAGGCCACGGTCCCAACAGCATCCCAGCATCCCGATGATCCAGCCGAAGAGGATGATGGCCACCGCCATTCCCATGAATCCTGCCGTCATCCTCCGCAGATCTGTGGGCGGCGAGAAAGGCAAGTCAAACACATGACTCAGAGCTGATAAGGGCACAGCGTGAACAAAATGGCACATTTTAATTAGTGCTTAAGGGATTCTGTAAGCCCTGTATTATATTCTATATTATTATGTTATATTCTTATCTATTCACAACTTCTTTTTTCAACCAGCATGAATCAAGAGATGCTTTTAAACACTATTAAAGGTGCATTTCAACTCATCTGCTTTTGACAGGTAGTTTGTTGTAGCACAACTTTAAATAAAACAAAAAATAATATGATTATATGACTGCAAATATAGTAGTATAACACTGCACTAGTCCCACTGTGTGTGTGCGACAGGGTTGACTCTGTGTTGGCTAGAGGGTAGGTCACAGCATTTGTGTTGGTTTGCTCTTTTTTAATCTCACAGTTGAATTCTCACAGTACAGGAGAGGTGGCAGGCCCAAAACGCCGGGCACGGTGGTTTATGCCAGCCAACTGTGAAAGGGTCACAGAGTTTACCTCAGGGCAGACTCAACTCTAGATGAGCATGCTGTATACAGCTTTTAATCCTTAGATGAGGTGTTAAACGTTTCATCCAAGTTATAATATCAAATCTAAAATGTCAGATATAAATTAAACGGCAATTCATTATTCCCACATCTCTATGACAGGAAATTCAGCAGATGCTTTTTGTTAGTACTTTAACTGAAAGTGCCAGATTTCACGAGTGTTTCCTCTGGGGTTGCAATTGCAACTCTTTAGTTTATATCTTTATATCTCATAATATGACTCCATTTGTCATATTTTCAACTTTATTACTCACAATGTGATTTTATTTCTTACAATTGCTACTTTATTTCTCATAACTGTGACTAGTTTTTCACATTATCTCTCACAATCTGACTTTTGTATTTTCAGCTGCATATCACGCAATGTGACTTACAATTGCAAATTTGATGCTTGTATTGACAAACTTTATTTGTCAAAATCGGACTATTTCTTACAATTGCAACTTTGTTTCTCGTAACTGCGACTCTATATTTCACAATTTCAACTATTTATCACATTGTGACTTTATTTCTTACAATTGCAACTTTATTTCTCACAATGACTTGATTTCTTATACAATTGCATCTTCGTTTTTCGTAAATTACAATTTGTCGCATTTTCAACTTTATTTCACACAATGTGACCTATTTCTTACAACTGCACGTTTTTCTCTTAACAGCATTTTTTTTTATTTTATTTTTTTCTATTTCTGTTTTTTACTATTTCTCACATCACAACTATTTCTTGAAATTACAACTTTGTTTTTCATAATTGCGTCTATCTTACAATGTGATTAACCTTGTATTTGCAACTCGTCTCACAATTTTAGTGTGACTATACCTCACAATATGACTTTTTTATTTTACAATGACCATAGTGCCGTTTGTGTCTCATAAAAGTGTTTTACAGACTTGTGCTATCTCAACTTTCATGTTCGGTTGTATTTCTCTCACTTATAAGGTGTCTGGAAAACTCTTACTTTGCAGTCCTTTGGGAAAGCTCATTTATGACCCTTAGATATGGTTTACTGTAAGTTACTGCCACAATAACATAGACCAGAGCCTTCACAACAATGAAATGGTTGGGTTGAAATAAGAAAGGTTAAGTTATAAATGAATCCCTTTCTCACTGAAAATGAGTTAGTAGTCGTGTACTATCAAACACATTGTGGTTTAAAAAAACACTCACAAGAGTGTTATTTAAACATTGAGTCAGGCTACAAACACCGCCTTGGGTACAGCCCACACAATCTTTGTTACATCATAACATAGGCTCTTATATTGTAGAAATGGAGTAGCATCAGTCAGTGTGTAGGCGACAGCATGCGTTCTGAAACAATAGGTGCTCAGGTATACTTTTGCTCATGTAAATTGCTATAGATTGTAGACAAGGTACATCCATATCAGGCAGTAAAGCAACGTTTTAGCTTGGCGGTCATCTCTCTGCAGAAATGCAAGAGAGAAACTGGTTTACATAAATTCAGAAGCCTTTCTTGGTTGGATTCACATTATAAATGCTGTTTGCAATCTGAATGACAGCCTTGATTTCTCATGTTGAGAGAAACATTTTATGCCCCAGAGAGCAAAGTATTGGATTTCCTAGTTTCTTAAAGGTTTCTTATGCAATCTGCAGACTGATGCTAAACCAGACTGTCAGCAACGTTCAAAATGTATGTTAACTAGAACGGAGGGCAACGAGAGTAGAAGAGCACAGAACGCCAGACAGGCAGCTCTACTGGAGACAGGCCAGGAGAAGTCTCTGTAGTTGGCCCTCTACTTTTGTTTGATATTCTTGTCGTTTTTGTATCTCTGTGTTTCTTAACCTGCTGGGCTTCCAGATGTGTCAGGTTCTGTCAGATCTTTGTTCCACTCACTCTCGAGGGCTGAATGAGAGAGCAGCCTGTAAATGCTGTACTGCAAGCAAATGTGTGCTTTCAAAATCTCTGAGGGGAAGGGTGTATAATTATGTCTTAGACAGGATCTTTGCCAATTAGATACTTTTTAATCAAAGTGAGGGAAATGCATAGGGAGAATGGACTGTACTGAAGCACATTTCTCTCTGAATTCACAACCTGAAATGTCAGATCCTTCAAATCCAGTTTTTCCACTCTGGAATAAACTATGAATACCTAAAATGACAAACTGCTCCCTTTGGGCTGGACCTGATGAGATTTTGCTTCCTCAAAATGAAATGTATAGTCAGGGTTTGAAACTTGAAACTTTTTAAATATTAAAGGGACCGTTTACTCGTCTTCCAAATCTGTATGACTTTTTCTGTTGTGGAACACAATGGAAGATATTTAAAGTTGGGATCCAGTCATTGGAACCCATTGATTTCATTGTATATAGACCACACAATATCATCTATTGTGTTCAACAGAAAGAGAGTCATTTTGAAAGACATGAGGGTGAGTAAATGATGCAATTTCTTCCTCGCTTAAGTCATACCAAATCAACTGAATACCAAAATAGTCAACATGAAATGGCTTTTGCATATTTCCATAATGTGATGTACTTTTGAGAGAAACAAGTTTGAATAATGAATATTAAACAATAAAAGGTTGGATCCATTGGCAAATTAGGATTGTGGAAAGATTCATATCACAATGAATCCAGGAATCAAGTTGTTTCAGAGTTATACATTTTTGATGAATGATTATTAAAACTTTTTACCTTTTTCCCCCTTTGTAATACTGTGCATTAATGAATTGTGCACAAAAGGGTGTAAAAAGCAAGTAAATGTGGTCTTGTATTATTTAATGTCGACTTTAAGCCTTAATTTATTATTTAAACTCATTTTCAACCCAAATATTCCACTTGGGATCTCCTTGAAAATTAAGTTTCTTTCTCTCCCCCGCTCTTTTCCCCCAAATTGAGTTCTGTTAGCAGAAGAGATTCTTGTTCAAATTTGTACACAATTCCCTGAATTATCCACAGATCTCATGCATAATTCCGACATCCAGATCAGACCCCTGTGCTGACTGTTAACATACTGTGATAAATCACATGGCTTTCTTGACTTCACATTTATAATCTCTCTAACAGAAGTAAATATAGACTAATCGCATGATCTAACCACATAATGGGCGTACCATCGAAAGCTAATGGGAAATGTGATTGATGTTGGACTATTCATGGTGGATGACGCTGTAATCGAATTGGGGGAAAAAAATTGTGACCTAATCGAGTTGGGTTTACGTAGCTCTCAAAGTCCAGTATGTACACACCTGGGGTCTTGCAAACATATGCTAACTGAATGATGGTAAATGAAGGTCTGCTATATGAACATGAGGTTGAGTACAAAATGGCCATGTGCTCCCGTCTGACAGGAAACTAATGGTTGCACCTGCTCAGGAGAAACTAATTTGCATGCCAACCATCAATGTGATGAAAATGAACACAAACTTTCTTGGCCAAATCCCTGTGCCGTCTTAGCCAACCCAGACTCCGAGAGCCCTTGTTGGATTGAGAGCCCTTGAGAGCCCAGATGATGTCAAACGTGTCTCAAGTCATACGACGACATTGTTGAGAGGGAAACGCAAGCCTCTTTTCATCTCTGACCTTTTGGAGAGGGTGCTTCGGAGAGTAGCATCATTGTTAGAGGAATGCTTTTGTCTGGAATGACATGTGTTGCAGAGAGCACATGCAAATTTGACTGCTAAGGAACAAATGAAATTATAGCAGGGATGTTGCTTGAGGAATAATGCGCATCAGCTTTATTTGCACTAGTTTGACAGTTGCCATTTGTTAAAAGAATGCGAATAGTGAGACGTTAGCCAGAGTGGATAGTGGTTTATTAATTTAGAGAATCAAGTAACAGTGAAAATATGGATTTGCTGGTTATTAGCATGAATCGTTTCTGTCGCACACTCATTTTAATAGCATTCCTCCTTGAAGTCATATCAGAAAGTGTGTTTTGTAGAAATTTTGTTCTTCAACATGTTTTAGTTGACAGAAGCAGGAATTGAGACACGACATAATGCAGAATCGAACCTCCAATTGTCACATGAGAACCACGGCTTAATGCTCTGCGCTAATCGCTATATGCCAAGGCACGGATTTCTTGATTTTCGTTTCTTCTTCAGTAGCTCATTAGAAGTAGCCAAAAATAAACTTCTGTTATCCTCAAAAGTGGGTCTGTTTTGCTGGATCTAATACGTCAAACTGATTCAGTCTATAAAAGCGTGTCATGTTCTTCATTAAAATGAGTCAGCATGTTTTAATGCATACATGTGGTCAATTTTCTCAGCTGGCTTTGGGAAGGGATTATATATATTTCTCTTTTTTTCCCCTCTCTATGTGGAATGGCCCCTGAAGGTAATAAAGCTTAATTTCATTATACCCCTTGTCGACCGCCACTGGGGAGAAAACAATTGTGAACTAAAATTAGATTACAGAAGACAGGATGGGAGAAGCTGCAAGAACATCATACTTATTTGCCATATACTCAAGAGGAGCATGTGTTCG